AAATGTTCCGGGGCTTTTACAAGCTTGCTTTCAAGCATCTTGTCCAAGCTATAGTCACTCATCACAAGAAGGCGTGACATGGTAATCCTCGAGAGGCTGTGCTTTTTCTGTGGATACCGAAATTTTGCCCTTTGATAGACACAGTGCTTAGAGCCGCATCCTAGCCATCTTTCCAGATGCAGAACAGATGCTGTGCCTTGAATTACACGTCCTCCAAAAGGCTATTTATTGTGAATGAGGCAATACGGTCCAATGTAATCCTGCCGTATGAATGATTAACTTTTCTGCATTCAAGAACAATTATTCCGTTGTTTCAATACTGCCGAGGAAAGCAAAATTATAATTGAGGCTAACGTACATAATTGAGGGTTTCTGAGGCAAGGCATTCTTCCCGCTCTTTTTTAAAGAAAAGGGTAGCAAATGTACATCTTGGTGCCCTTGATTTTTGACAGCTGGCCTTTCAGGTTTGGATTTAGTTGAGTCTGGGTGAGATGCCTTCCTCCTTTTTTTAGTTTTTTTTTTTATTAGCACACATTCTACCTGAAGACTAATGGGTTTTTTCATAATTTCCTATAGTAACAGTCTACTTTTCAAAATATCCAGCACAATATTTCTCGGTTTTGCCTTCCATAAGTTGCCAGATCCTTGGATCAAGAATTTTAGTCATCTTGATCTGTTTCTGAGATATTATCTTTGCCTCTGGTGCTATATGAATATCAATATTATTTTAGCTCTCTTCTGCTGCATTCCTTATTGTTGGATTTGGTAAGGGTGGAGGAGAGAGGTAGAAATGGAAAGAGGGATTCTCTAGCCATGTCACCCATTTCTCAGCTGTCACGCTCAGCTAGCTTTTGCTATTAGTGCCCTTTCGTGCATTTAATTGGTCCCTCCTTCCAACAAGACTGACTCCATTTGGGGGAAAATTGGAAATTCAGCTCCAGCAGTTTTTTCAACTTTATTGTAACGTGCTCAACTGGGTTGGGCTGTGGCAAGGAATACAATGTTTGGTGTGGAGATTGCAAAGTGTCAATATTTGGGGAGAACAAAACTGCATTTTGCTCAATTAATTCTCAAAAATGCTTGATGCTGCTTTCCATTTGCATAAAAGGCCTGGTTATTACCGTTTAGTACAAGCTTTGTGTTGGTTGCTAAATGCTTATCAGCCCAAAAAGTTCTTTTTAAAATTTTAAGTTTCATAATCATTATTTGGAATTAATACATCAGGAAGATTAAAGAACCTGCCCCTAATCCGTCTAACTCTCAGATTTCATCGTACGGCACCTTACATTTCTTGCTTGAAATTAGGATGCTTTTAGACAAACTGCATTTAGAGATGGACATCTTGAAACAGCTGCAATAGTGGGGGGTATGATAACTCTAAGAGGAACATCTGGAAGAGTTCTGTGTCTGCCACCTAGAGATCTGTGACAGATAACATAGTTGTTTTCGAATATCTAAAAGGCTTCCAACAAAACAGGCAGAAAATTCTCTGGTGCTGTAGAAAGCAACATTCTACCGTAGTCACTCAGTGAAAAATGCAGGGAACAGATTTTGCTAAAAATCAGGGCGGGGGGATTCAAACTAGATTATATTAGATTAACAGAGTTGGAAGGGACCTTGTAGGTTATCTAGTCCAACCCCCTGCCCAAGCGGGAGACTCTACACCATTTCTGACAAATGTCAGTCTAATGTCTTCCTGAAAGCCTCAAATGATGAAGCTCACACAACTTCCAGAGGCAACTTCTGTTCCATTGGTTGATAATGTTTAAGAGAGAAAAATATTCCTCCAGGAGTGAGTGTATTTCCCTCTGGGGGAATCCGCACTGTATATCAGACATAAATACAATTGAGCGAGTCCAGAAGTATTTTACCAGAAGAGTACTACATTCCTCTGTTCACAACAGAATACCCTACACCACCAGATTTGAGATTCTAGGCTCAGACAACCTTGAACTACTCTAGCTAAGATTGGACTTAAGTTTAGTACATAAAATCATATGTTACAACATCTTACTAGTTCATGAATATTTCAGCTTTAACCACTACAATACAACAGCACACAACAGATATAAACTGAATGTAAACCACTCCAAACTTGATTGCAGGAACTACGATTTCAGCAACAGAGTGGTCAATGTCTAGAACTCACTACCTGATTCTGTTGTCACCTGCTCAAACCCCGACTCCTTTACCCTCAAACTAACCTCTATTGACCTCACCCCATTCCTAAGAGGTCTGTAAGGGGCGTGCATAAGCACACAATCGTGCCTACCGCCCCTGTCCTATTGTCCCCAATTATTAGTTCCTATTTCTTGTATTTAAGCTTATGTTTATTCTTATTTCTGTTACAAGCTTTTGACAAAATAAATAAATGAAATAAACTATTTAAGCAATATGTCTGTTGAAATTCTCAGACCAGGTCATAGTTGTCTCAAAGATGCTTTTTCAAAAGGCAACTGGACTGTTTATTTGTTTTTCCTTGAGGAAGGAGGAGAAAATGTTTCACTTCTTACCCAAGAAGCTTCATCAGTTAAGGGCATTTTCCTTAAGTGAGACCATCTCATGACTTGGATAGGCCATATACTTAAAGCAACTAAGAATTGGGGTTCTGTAGCTGAACAATTGCATAGTTCCAGGTCTCTTCAAGGGCTGTTCCTGGAATCTAATTATAATTGTTGCATAAATTCAGCAACCACAGATGATTGTCAGGAACCAACTCTTAGTCCACTTATCGGATAATGAATTATCTGGAACCATTGTAGATTCCACTATTTAATCATTGCCAAAATAATATTCAATATCTTGGAATCAGTAGGCCTTTTGGGTAAATCTAATAAACGCTAAGATGCCAACATGTCAAGAAAAATGAATTCTTGCCTTCTTCCTTGCCTCAGTTTATTCTGATGGATGGTTTCATATAAAGGGTGGTAAATATTAACTTTCAAATGCTGATTATCTATTATTGATAATGCTTGGCATTAGAAGAAAAATTCTTAATGGTGCACAATCCACATGTGGCTCTCGTGGGGAAAATGCTTCACAGCCCTTGGGAATCTTTCTTGGCATCTCACTATAGAGCAGTGAATGACAGAAGATTTCGCTACATTACTTGAGTAGATAAACAGATTAATATTTGATATAAATAAATAGGGAGGTGGAGGGTTTCAGTTATTGCAGTCTTCGGTCTGAGCCTTTGAAAGTTGCAGCATTTTGTGCCCCTAAAATAGACACATAGTTAGTGTACTTCATACAACAAGGGTGTCCTAGGCCCCTAAAACTAGGATTAGAGATCAACGACTACTTTTGTTGGTTTTGTGTCAACAGCAATTTCCTAATAGTGTTTGAAAATGGCACTTTTATTAAGGTAAAATCAGGACTAGCAAATTTCCAGATTCCTTATTTGGATTTGTCAGTTGAGTTTGTTTGACCCAGAAAGTCCAAAAAAATCAGATCAAAATAGATATAACAAAGGAGGCCTGGAGAGGCTGTGTGCTCTGTTTTCATTGGCAGAAGGACTGCAGAATGCCATCGCAGTTGAAAACGGAGCCTTGACAAGTGATGTCGAGCTGGCCAAGCACATCCTGGCCACACCTCTGCCCCCCCCCAAGATCAAACACAACCCTGATGGGGCCCTCATCAGATCGAGTTTGACACACCTGCACTAGGACATGAGTGGACGTCTGCAAGACTTCCTCCCCTTCACAGCTGTAGTTGCTCCTTGCTCCTTGAGCAACCGCCATGAGACCAGGAGAACCCCAATTATCCACCCATTCTTTCTGAGAAGTCCTACCACATAAGGAATCAAAGATGACACCTTTGATTCCAAAGCTATTCCGTCTTGCTAGGGCAGAGTCAGAGATGCTTCCTCTCCAATTGGACCCGCTGTTTCCAGGGACCGCGCTAGCACTTGCATGGCCCCATCTGCTCAGCCAATGGGCAGAGATGTACAGCAGGGTATCATCTGCATATGATGAAACCGTACCCTGTGCTGCTGGCACATGACTTCTCCCAGCATTTTCACATAGATATTCAAGAGGATCAGTAAAAGGGGCAAGGCCTGAAGCATTCCACGCTGCATTCCACTGGGCAGCTGAATGGAGCTGAGTATTTACTGGCCAGATGCCCTTCCTGTCGTTAATATGGAGTTATATTCAGCAGATACATTCTCATCATAACCAGAGAAAGAAATACCTGCCTCTACTTAGGATCGAACTCACAGCCTCATGATTGTGAGGGAAGAGCTCTGCCTCTTGACCACCATACCAATCAGAGCATCTACTAAATCAATACCAGAAATTTGTTTGGGAAATGGGAGTCAATAAATATCGGTAAATATTTATTAGTAATGTTACAATGGAATACCATAATTACTTTTCTAACAACAGAGCAATATTTTGGTAGGAAATGATATAACTTTAGAGCAGGGTCTAACTGTGTCTACCTGAGGAATTCTGAGAGTTGACGTCCACGTGCCTTAAAGTTGCCAACATTGAGAAATGATGTTTTAGGTCAACAGCAGAATAAATGCATTCTAAACTGACTATAAAATTGAAAGATATTACTAAGATGTGCTTCTTTATCAGGCTATTTCCATACCCACACTGTATAATTTCAACAATAAATATTTAACCGTTTTCTTCAGTAGTATTATTTGCACTTCTACATTGATTTTTCACTGTACGGTTCAGGAAGATGGATCGTACTGAAACACTGGCTACTACAGTTGATTGTCAGCATTAGAGAATTAGCCATGAGAAACTGATCTGACCATGTTCCAAGTTTGCAGTTTACTCAAACATACAACATACCCACACATGCATTCTTCTTGAATATTTAGTCTCTTTCCAAACTCTTATTCCCCCTTTATTTTGTTTTCTACTTATTTTTTTTTCTATTGTATTCAACAACTCCTTCAAGGTGGTTAGAGTGACTCACTCATGCCAACTATACATCTAAATTCATTGGCTTTAACATATTTATCTTTTTTTCTTCTTCTTCAGGGACTCAACAGTGTTTTTGAAGTTTACCTGGTGGGAAACAACTCCAACCATTTTATCATTTCTCCGACTTCAATCCAAGGCAAAGCAGACATTCGGATTAGAGTGGCGGTCCCCCTGGATTTTGAGACAATCCCTCGCTATGTGTTTTCTGTAAGCGTTCTTCAGACACTGCATGGGGAAGTGGTAGAAAGCCAAGGGACTGGATGGGTGATATAGGATGTTGATATATATGGATGTACACATGCAATGGTTAATTTGTTCGGAGTAGATTTTGCAACAAAATAATATATGATTCTTCATTATAATAGATAATGCAAAGATAGCAGGGTTGATTAAGGTGATTAGATATTCATAGCCACTGTGATGACCCAGGGTGGGATACAAAAGCAGCAAAGTCACGAAAACAGGTGAAGTCCCTTTAATTCTTTCAATTTGGCTTCAAAGGTCCAATTATCATTGACTGGGGAAAAAACTCCCCCACAAACAGTTGCAAAAAGGAAGAACTTCCGTTCAAATTCAAAATACATATAAATTATAAATAGGAAAAAACAACACAAACCACACTGAAGCAATTGATGAGGCGAGGGCAAGTCAGGATAAGGGCGTGAAAATGTCTACAGATATCGAAATACACACACTGGGAAGGACACCAGAACTCAGATAAGAACTGACAAACTAGAAATATTTTCACGCTTTGCTTCCAGCACTGGCCCATGCGCAGTTTGTCCTTTTAAACAGTCCTCACAGCTGCAGCCCATGAAGGGGATCAAGGCCCTTTCCTCCCCTATAGACCACGCCATTCACATTTCTCCCTTATCCGCTCCTCTCTGCATGCCCTAGGATGAAGAGGGGGTGGGCCTGGGTCTTCCTCTGAATGCCCAGCCAGCCTGTGCCCTTCCCCAGTTTCCTCCGCAGCCTCCGGAGCCACACTCCCACTCCCTGTCAGCTGTTCCTCCTCTCCCTCGGAATCAGATTCTAACAGGGGCATGACAGCCGCTGTTACCAGAATAAATAGTCCTTGACTTACAACCATTTGTTTCAGTGGTGGGATTCAAATATTTTGCTACCGGTTCTGTGGGCGTGGCTTGGTGGGCATGGCGTGGCTTGGTTGGCATGTCTTGGTGGGTGTGGCAGGGGAAGGATACCGCAAAATTCCCATTCTTTCCCCACCCACTAACCTGCTTTCCAGCTCCGTTCTCCTGTGCAGGGCAACCAAAGAAGAACCAGCCGATCAGCTGGGACTCGGGAGGCAGAGAATAGATGGGGGCGGGGCCAATCCTAGGTGGTATTTGCCAGTTCTCCAAACTACTCAAAATTTTCTCTACCAGTTCTCTAGGACTGGTCAGAACCTGCTGAATACCACCTCTGATTTGTTTAATGACTGTTCAAAGTTACAATGACACTGAAAAAGTGACTTATACGATCAGTCTTCACGCTTATAACCATCACAGTATCTGGATGATGATGTGATCATTTGGGTGCTTTGCAACTGTTAAGTTTGAGCAATGAGAGGCTGAACCAGAGCATGAGTGCAACAATACTTTATTATAGCAATAAAGGGCTGACCGTGCTTGCCACGCCAGGAACTGGCTCGCAGCAATCAGCAACTGGTTGGACCCCGCAGCCTGCTTTTATAGCTGGCTGCTGGGGAGAATCAACCAATGAGGAAAGGGGAAAGAACGCCCACTCAAAGTGAGTGGACCTGAGTGAGAACTCCTAGAGTTCTCAGGACATAACACCCCTTCCCCCCAGCTGTGAACATGCATAGTCTTTGAGGTAGGCAGGAGGTTTATGTTGGCGCCCGGAACGGCGTAGTTCTGGAACATTGTCTGTCCGTCCGGGTCTGCCTGGGCAGGCAGCGTCGGCAAAGTGTCACCAGTGTGCCCCTCGGGTTGGGTCTGCCCTGGGCTCGTCGGGTTGCTCACTGGGGATGTGCTCTCGAAGGCAGGATCGGGCTGGTCAACTGTCTGGGCGCCGCTGTCCGTGTTCGGGCTTTCGGAACCGGCTGTAGGTGTGAGCTGATCGCCGGGCGTGAGGTGGATGTGAGGCTGAGGATGAAGCCTCCCCTCGTCTAGTGCCTCTGGGTCCCTGCTGGCGATGGTGCTGAGGCGTCTGCGCAGTTGGTCTCTGTGCCTTCTCCAGACGCGGCCATCCTCCAGTCTGACCCTATACGACCGCGGCCCGGTGATGGCTACGATCTCGCCCGGGATCCACAGGGGGTCTCCAGCGAAGTTCCTCGCGAAAACTGGCTCCTGTAAGATAAAATGTCTAACCCCCGATGAGGAAGCGAGGGGAGAGTCAGGGCAGTATTGTGGGTGAAGTCTGTCCAATACAGTCCTCAGGCGCCTGCCCATCAGGAGCTCAGCTGGGGACTTATTGGTGACTGAACAAGGAGTTGAGTGCTGGCTCATCAGGAACCGCGAGAGTTTGTGGTGCCAGTCATCCTTGTTGAACCTTGCCAGGGCTTCTTTGGTGGTCCTGACGGCCCTTTCAGCCAGTCCGTTACTGGCAGGGTGAAATGGGGCTGTGAAAATGTGGCGGATACCCAGGTTGGCAGCGAAGCGGCTGAACTCAGTCGATGCGAACTGTGGGCCATTATCGGAGACGATGGAGTCGGGTAGCCCGTGCGTAACGAACAGGCGTGTTAACACGTTGGTGATTGCTAGTGTGGTGGTCGTGGATAGCTGTGCTACGTCAATCCATTTGGAATAGGCGTCCACGACCACCAGGAACATCTTCCCATGCAGAGGGCCCGCTAGGTCGATGTAATTCTGGACCAAGGAGCGCTGGCGTTTTCCCATCTAGTAGGGGTGGCAATGGGGGGAGCAGGACGGGATTCCTGGCAATTGTTGCAGGAACTTACCCAATTGACAATGTCCTCGTCTAGACCCGGCCACCACACGTAGCTGCGTGCTAACGCTTTCATTCTCACGATGCCAGGATGTCCCTCGTGCAATGCTTCCAGAACTCGGGTACGCAGTGAGGCCGGGATGACCACTCGAGTGCCCCATAGTAGACAGCCCTGCAGACTTGACAATTCCTGCATGCGAGTCTTAAAAGGTGTGAATTTGTTATCAACATTGCCACCCGGCCACCCCCTCCTCACCCAGTCGAGCACCTGGGCGAGTGTACGGTCTGTCTTGGTTTTAGCCTGATTGGGACTGCTTGGGGGTCAACTGAGAATGAGATGGGGGTACCGTTATAACACCCCAGCTCTTCGCTGAATACATCTGAGTAATCAGCGAATAAGGAGTCAGTGTCTGAGGTTGAGACAGCATGGACTCCTGTTAGCCCTAGGCCGAGATGGGGAAACCAATCGAGCCCCAATAAGGTGGGGAGATTGCCGTTAACTACCACTAGAGGTAGGTGACCTTTAAAAGCTCTAAAACTGACAAGAAACTTGCCTCTGCCGATTACAGGAATGGTCTTCCCCTGGTAGTCCTTCAGGCCAAACTGGCATCTCTGGAGCCGGCTAGTGGATAGGCTTGGTTGGAGCCTCTTAAGGGTGTTCCACGAGATAATTGAGAGCGCTGACCCTGTGTCAACCTCCATGCGGCACGGTTTACCTTCTAGGGAAACGGAGAGAGAAATTTTACTAACAGTGTGGCAAGTGTGCTTGGCAAGGTGGTGCGTGCGACAGTTCAATACTTGCCTCTGTGGTCCCGAGTGCGAGGGAGGGTGCCGTTGTGCTGTGCCTTGGGGGGCTTGGCAGACTCTCGCGATGTGTCCCCTTTTATGGCAGTTATTGCAGGGGGCTCCTTTAAACTTGCAGGTGGCCCTCTGATGAGATCCCCCACAGGCTAGGCACAGGGTGATGTGCTTGGGTGGACCGATGTTTTCTTGTTTGGCTCCTACCTGCGGCCGTCTGTCGCTGGATAGGCGGTGGACTTCGTTTTCATCACCGATGGGTTCCTCTGCTACCACCTCCTCGGAGTGGACTGGAAGTGATGTCAGCTTGGCGCTTGGGCCCTGGATTTCGGTGGCTGAGTTTGTTGCCAGTTCAGCTGCCAAGGCTTCCTCGACTGCTTGTGCGAGGTTGAGGTCTTTCTTTGCGAGAAGTCGCCTTTGCAGGTGGAGGTCCTTGACCCCGCAGACTAATTGATCGAGGAGCATGTCCTCCAGGTAGGTTCCAAACCCACAATGCAGTGCTGCTGTTCTGAGAGCGGCCATATATTGATTGATGGTCTCCTTGCTCGATTGCTTCCTCATACGGAAGGTGAATCTCCTGGCAATCTGTGAGGGCCTGGGGGAATAGTGGTTAGTGAGAATTTCAAGTAACTCAGACCACGGAACGTTTTTCAACTCACGAGGAGCCACGAGCGCTGCGGCAGTATCGTAGACGGTGGCTCCACAGTAGATTAGGAAATACGACTTCTTCCGATGCTCCCCCGCATCCGCCAGGCCAACTGCATCGATATAATGATTGAAGCGGTTCTTATACGATTCCCACTTCTCCTCGTCTGGTTTAAACGCCGGGAAGACTGGATTGGAACTCATGGTGCTGGGACCGGTTGAACAACCTGAGGAAAAAATCTCTCTGGGGCAGCAGACAATGTTTTAGTGCCCGTGGTGGGCAAGTGATTTCAGCTTAGGAGAGGCTGTTTTAAATCCTCTCTTTCTCTCTGGGTTAACCACGTTAGGCTGCTAGCCGTAGATGGCGTTTGGATTCACGCCTGAGTGGGCGTCAGTGACTGGCTACAGCGCTGTGCTGTACCTTTTAGGTTTGAAATTCAAATGACAACCGTTTGAATTTTGCGCCTGATACTGAGCGGCTGCGGCTCGCAGCGCTTCACTTTCCCTGTAGCTGGGCTAACAAGCGGCTACAGACGCTTCTAACTTTCGATTCTGACCGCTCTCTCTGGCTGCGGATCAGCGTTCACTTCTTATCGCTTGCTGACCGCTTTCTCTGTCAGCGGATCAGCGTTTGCTCTTTTTGTTTGCTCTTTTTGTTGGCTGACCGCTCTCTCTGGCTGCGGATCAGCGTTTCCCTTATCGCCGGCCGATCGCTCTCTCTGGGCTGCGGATCGGCGGCTAGTGACTCAGCGGTTGCATGGTGCTTCTGGTAGCCATCCCATCCTCGTCACCAGTGTTAAGTTTGAGCAATGAGAGGCTGAACCAGAGCATGAGTGCAACAATACTTTATTATAGCA